TGGAGAATGCCATGATGTTTCGAAAGTGGGCATTCGAGACACTGTTTGAGAACAACCCATCGGTGGTGATGCTAGTCCCTCAGGGCCGTCCTGGAGCCAACTACCGCGACATCACTAACAGTGTTGGAGGGTAAACAATGCAATTTCAGAGTCGGAGGCGAAACTCGTACTGAAATGATCAGCTTCGAATACCTAGAGGCCCTGGTGATCCTATTTTCGTCAACAGCATGTTGGGCGTTCCGCAAGTTGTCATACCTGGTAAGCTTTTCATTTGGTAAATAAACAGGATCGCGGTATGAAGCTTATGATATCTCTAGTTGGCTAAAATGCGTATCAATCACGACCATCTGGTCGCGAAGAGATGGCGCCGCAATTCGCAAGTCTCATGGCATGGTCAGTAAGTTTTGTGCCCGACGCCAAGGAAACATAACAATTACCTAACTCCGGACAGATACGGATCTGGACCTTCAGCGCCTGCTGTCGGTACTCTCAGTGCCTCTGGACGCCCGACAGAGCTCCTCACTGGCAGATATGTGTTCTCACAGCATGCGCTTACGAGCGTAAATGGGGAAAATAAGAATGCCAATAAGGCCGCCCTCTAAGAAGTAAAGAGTCATTTACGTGGTTAGGAGAGTCAGCTGCGGTTTGCTATCAATAGGAAAGTCTGGCCATATTTTCGGCGACATACAATAGGCTTGAACTCGGGAGATCCATATGGGAGTTCACAGATGTGCTCAATTTTTACTGATCTGGTACGTGGGCGCACCCGAATAGATGATGGAAGCAAATCGATCTCTATCTACTAGAGCCCACACTACCATTGTGTGATAGACACTATTCTCGTTTTCAGTGCTTCAACCTTGACACATCTGAACGACTAAATTGGCTTTCTCTCGTTGCAGATTGACCGATGAGGTTTCACTGAAGCTGCGGTATGCTTGCAACGGCGAGAAAGACCCAATAGCATGTGATTTGATGCTGATGTGCGATACACTGTGGCTACAGAGTCTTGTGGGGCTGGAGGCTGTGCGGCACATTGATAATTTAAGTGGCTACTTACTGATAATGTGACTACACCTTCGATGTCTTCAGGTGATACGAAAAAGATTTGAGAGTGATATATCCCGAAATCACAAAAAGGTTGCGTCTTCGTATATGGCTGCCTGAAACCAGAACATGACAAGTTATGCCAGGCCGCGCATGTAATCCCGTTCTATAGAATACGGATATAAAAACACAAGGCAAGCTAATTTGCCTTGCGATGTGTCCTACTTCTTCACCGGAAGTTCTTTCTCTTTTGTACAGGCCATTTTCTCTACTGGCGGGCACCATGATTATCATCCGCTCCGACTAAGATGCATTGCGTACACGGTTGAGTCGTTAACTAACTAGCCCGAAGATGGATGACATTTTGATTAACCAATCCCTGTGTACAATTTCTTCCGCAGAATTTGGACAACTACGTACTGTGGCCCGAGAAGGGTTGACTTCGCATTAACAGCCATCGTGGTATCCTAAGATTCTTATAGTGTCCCGTAACAGCCGGCTGGGGGGCGGCTGGCGTCCACAGATATACCGGCGTTGTTCACCAGTCTGCAAGGATTATTCCAACTGTTAGTAACAAAGCAAGCTTTATTCTTAGGAACACAGCTTAAAGAAGAGAGAGCGCAGCGAGAATGCTATAGGGGTATGTGTGACAGAACTGAACAACTAACATATTAACTCGATCAGACTCGAACACAGTCCTCACAACCTGATCCTCAACGTCACTGGCGATGCTAGCGTCGGTCCTAACGAATCCGAGATGCCCCCATCCCGTCTTAACTTCCTCGTCTGTATGAATACGCCCCTCGAAAATAATCTTCGCGCGGGTCTTTGGCTTCAAATCGGCGCATAAGACTGCAGCTCCTTCGCCGTCATATGCCAGAGCAATACGTCGTCCCAGCCTAGGCGAGAGTCGATCACGTGATGATAGCCACATTATTCTGCTGACGATGGAGCAACGCGTGTTTCCGGCGAAGGAGTTTGGAGTCAGGAAGACATGAGGCTGTTCTGAGAGATACATTCTGGATGTCTGAAAATTTTTAGCTAGGTAAAATACGACATCTTATTAAATGCTGGAAAACTGAATGTAGCATGCGTAAGTTTTAAACATAAATATCGCACTATAGCCGGCTATATAATAAAGTTTACACCACTTATATTGATGAATGAGTATTAGAGCGCTGCCGTTTCGTAACCTCAGCTTTAGTCTATTATTCTCGCGTAAACCCGGCATTGCGGAATACTGTTTTCGAGCAGCACGTTGTGCCTATGGCATGACGTCGCACGCCGGCGCAGCGTTGCAAAACCGAGCTTCTGATGGTAAGGGATTACCGCTAGTTTTAATAGTGCGAGATGATACGAATTTATTCAAATCGTACGCAAGGCTCGTGCCTCTGTTTCCTAACTCCGAAGGGACCATTTGGTACAATAAATTGAGGCCTCTTTAATATTATCCATCGGTCACCCTGACCCATCGAGCCCCAGCGTTCAGATGTATTATCTGTACTCCAGAGAAGGATGTCTATTTCTGGACTATTTTCGTGTCCAAACTTGGAACTTCCCGTACAACTCTACAAAGTCACAATCTTTGGTGTGAGATAATAACTTTGTCCGCTACCTTCTCGTGCCGTTTTCGGATTGCGTGCGCCGCCTTCCACGTATATTTTAATGTTACTAGTCTGGGTTTCATTAACAAATTACAATCAGTAGCCAGTACGCATAACGAATCCGATTTCTGCATCTGCCGACAGGTAGTACGGATGATCCAACACTGTTTGACATTGGACGGAAAGCAGCATACACTGGTGGTGTAGCCCAGCTCTCCCCGCTTTCGAGCTACTCGAAGCAGGCTCGACTTCAATAAAAAGCAATCGAGATCATCTATATACTATAAACCCCAATTCTGTCTTAAATTAAACACTTATATCGTTTCAACAAGCCAGGGCGTGACTTCAAGATGGCTAGCAACATCGAACTCCTGGACCTCGTCCGGGACTCGAAACTTGAAGCGACATTCCAGGGCCCTAATATAACTATCCATCCAGCTAATTGCCGAATGGAAAGCCACCAAGCAGTATGGCATCGCGAAAATCCTCTTGGATCCGGTGCTTATGGTATAGTATGGTTTGAGAGCAGAAACGCACCGTCACCTTCATTGCGCGCTGTAAAAGAACTCAAGACATATAAGAAGCCTCAGGATGGATTAGACTACAGACTCGAGCTGGGGGCATTGACCAAATTCTCCCAGAGAGAGGTAGGCTTCCTCTCCCAACCTAGTCGTCCTACTGCGTGTTTTGGAAATAACTTTTTTGCATTAGTATCGCGACTACTTCGTAAGGTTTTACGGCTGGTACGAAAAGCCCGAAACGCTGTGCGTCGCCCTAGAATATTGTGCACTTGGAGATCTGAGGAACTATATTATTCGTGAGCGCAAGGCTTTGCCCGAAACAGAAGCCCAAGAAGTTGCGAGCCAGGTTAATCAAGGCCTGGTGTATATGCATGAAAATGACTTTGCCCACCGAGACTTGAAACCAGCGGTATGCTAAATAACAGCTCACTTCAAAGAGCAGAAGGAAGACTGATGGAGCTTTAGAATATCCTTATCCAAACATGCCCCCCAGATGAGTGGAGGGTCAAGATCTGCGACCTCGGTCTAAGCAAACGGGTCGGGGAAAGTGACTCTACAAGTAGTAGAGGGACTCACTGTTACATGCCGCCAGAGATGTTAGGCATAGGAGGAAGAAGGGCACAATCCACTTTCCTTGACATGTGTGTTGACATGTGGTCCCTTGGTGAGACCGTAGTGTACATGTTGACTGCGGAAGCCAGTTTTCCCTATCCAGCAGATCTGATCGGGTATTCACAGGATCGAAGTAAAATGCCCCTAACTCACCAGCGTATAGTTAATGAAAGCCTTTCAGCGTATCGTTTCATTCGTTCTTGTATGGCAATTGAGCCCAAAGAACGATGCACGGCCAAGCAAGCAGCAGAACACGAGTGGCTAGAATACATGAGCAGCTCAGAAAACTCAACAGAATTGAGTGCTGGCGAGGAAACTGATCTTCAGCCTGTGCTAAATGATTTGGGCTACCGCGCACTTGAAGGACTATATGTCAATTACGACGCAAGTCTACCATCCGGTCAGTGGGCTACAACTCAGACACAGCAAGCAGTGACGGAGCAGCAGCGACGTTCCGCTACAGAAAGGCAGCCATATGAAAACACCGCGGAAAGAAGCTTTGTACCAACCAGCCAACCGAAACAGCCCACCGCAATATCTTCTGCGTCACCAGATCCGACTCCTCACTTCCGCTGGGTCTCAGGCAATCCAGTTAATATGTACCAAACTGGCATGGACTGGAGCTCAGTCAACATGCAACCAACAACAACCTCCTCGCCCGAATACGAAAGCACTATGCAGCATAAAACAGCCAGTCTAAGCCGACAGGGTGGTACGCAAGAGGACATAGTCGAAGGTTGTAAGAGGAAAGCTTGAAATCTATTACCAGAGGGACATATTTCTTGTGTGCCCTTTCAAGGACTGCTATTGGAAACTTCCTTTCTGGACCTACTGAAACAGGCAGCGTGAGTGTTGGAATGGTATACGTGGATAGCTTTGTATTTGGGCCGGCTATGAGAACATTTATTTAGTGCATAGTTGTACTAGCTAGTCAAGCTTTTCATTCATGCAACGTCGTTCTATTCATTTATCACCATTTAGACCAAAGGATACGTATATGGTATGATCGTAACATATTTTCTTGAGTAACTGAAAGATAATCAAGTGATGTGTATATATAATGATATTGCAATTGTCTTGTCATCTCTAATTACTAGTGGGGTGATGGCGCAGCTGGGAGCGCGTTAGACTGAAGTAAACTTCAATCTTCAATTATCTAAAGGTCACCGGTTCAAGCCCGGTTCACCCCAAACTTTTAATTCTCGTTATTTAATTCGGGCTTGTGGTTTAGTGGTATAATACTCCCTTAGCACGAGATCTCCTCCTGAGAGGAAATCCATGAGATTGGGAGTGGTCCGGGGTTCGATTCCCCGCGAGTCCAATTATCCGGTATAGTGTAACGGCTAACATATCGCGTTTTCACCCTGCAAAGGGAAAAACCGCGGGGCTCGGGGTTCGATTCCCCGTACCGGAGTATAACAGTGTTTATTTACTTTTGTAAAAAGTACAAATTATCATTTTTATTTAAATAACTCGATAATAATTTTTTTCCCACCTAATATTATCCAATATAACTAGTGACGAGCTAAACAAAGAGAAATTAAACTTGGTGTGAACTTTTTGAAATCCTATTTTAACCTTGGGTGGGCATGTTAGTAGTGTTAGTTGGAGGCTGTTAGGGTCCTGGCGGCTGTCAGACTCTTTAGTAGATCGTATCGGCCCGGGGGGGGGGGCCCTAATAACCAAACTTAAGTGCCCACGTAACAAGTCTCTCTTAACGGACATCACTAACACCGTTTTAAATACGAAAAACCATCCAAGAGACTTGCCAACTCTTCACTTCATGACTTGCGTACAATATTGCCTGTTGGCTGAAAAATTTTGATGATACTTTTGAGTGTATTCATGGCGTATCAACACCGATAACTTTGACCAATTTATAATAAGTTTTCTGTCTAACAAATGCCGCTCTCTGATAGTGTAGGGTGATCAATACTTGTGTTCGAGTTCTGGGTCAATACTATCCCTAGGCTTCTCATTATACTCATGCAGTAGGCCAATAGGATGAGTCTTGGCGAATCTCACAGTTTTCCAGACCGACGGGCTCTGCCTGAAGATCAGATCAATCTCCTCCAAGCTGCGGCCCATAGTCTCGGGGAACAGCGTCCACACTGAGATGGGGATAACGGCACCAACAGCAGCGAAAACGATGTAATACCGCCAGCCGATGGTGTTGATAGCGACGGGTGTGACCATAGCTACGACGAAGTTCCTAGATATAACATTAGCACAGGAATAGAAGACTAAGGACTAACAAGCTATCCGTAGCTTAAACAGAGGTTAATACTCACCAAAGCCAGTGATTAGCTGTAGATATGGAGCTCATGGCCATGCGCAGCCTAAGAGGCGCGATCTCAGTGCAGTACAAGAAGTTCGCACCGAGGAACCCGATCGGCACGAAGGTATTGAAAAGGTAGATGAAAACACCTGCGGCGATCTGCGCCGAGGTGTTGTTCTTGTTGAATGAGGTTGCAATGGCGAGTGCGACCATGCACGCGCTCATACCGAAGCCGCTCACGATGAAGACAGCACGGCGCCCGAAACGGTCAATGCAGATGAAGGCCAAGAATGATGATAGGAACTTCCAGAGCAGCGCGCCGGCTGATAGCACGCGCGAGATCTCACTACTTAGTCCTAGATTCTGCTGGAAGAGAATCGTAGCGTAGACACTGATGAGGTTAGATCCACTGTAAAGGTTTGGTTAGCGAGCTCTATCTTGTAAAACGTTTGTCGATATAGCCCAAGGCGCCAGAAGGGATTACTCACGATAGCTGCTGGTAAAATTGTAGCAAGATGCACAAGCCGAACCGATAAGCAAGCTTATCCTCGCCCATCTTGATCAGATCGCTCAGCTTCGCTGCCGTCATCCGTGTGGTCTCGAGCGAATGCTCAATACCCATGATCTCAAGACCGACCTCGGGGGAATCCTCACTCAGTCCTCGCAGCACAGCAAGATTCGCGCGAGCCTGCTCGCCCTTGTTTTTCATGAGCAGCCATCTGGGGCTCTCCGGGAAGCTATACACAGACCCTATGAGGACGAGTGAAAAGACAGTGGAGATAGCGATAGGCGGACGCCAGGTGACGGGGCCGTGATGATACTCGAAAAAGCCAAGGTCGATAAAAGACTCGAGGACGTAGCCTAGGCAAATGAACAAGCCGTCCAGCACGACATGTTGACCGCGGTTCTTGGCACCAGATGTCTCGCTCTGCCACACGGGCACGATGGAGCTCAGCTGGCCGACGCCTAGCCCAAGTACCACGCGGCCGACAATAAACTGCGACAGTGAAAAGGCGGAAGCCTCGAGGACGATGCCGATCAAAGTGCACAAAGCGCCGACAAAGATAACATGGCGGCGTCCAAAGCGGTCGCCAGACCAGGAACAACTCAAGGCGCCCACAAGTGCGCCGAGTACGAAGACCGCAACGACGACACCCTGGATTGTTGACTTCTGGCTTTTCTCGGCACCGGTAGAGCTCACTGTGTCGATCCCTGGGAATGTCTTAACCCAATTCTCCTCTGTAAGGAGACCGCCCAAGCCCGCTTGGTTATAGCCGAAGAGCACGAAAGCTGGGCACACAATAAGTGCAAGTTGCAGCCTGCTTAGGGCTGAGCCCTGGAGGCCGAAGGGCGTGTTCACAGACATTCTCTCGCCGTCTTTAGGGAAACTAAAGTCACTGAACATGCGAGGTTTTGCGATACTAGAAAGGTCCAACCAAGCACGACCAGTCCAGGAACCTAGAAAAAACGTTCAAACAGAGCACCTGCTCCGTGGGGAGGGAATATCCATTTTATCGAGGGTTTTCTGAGGAACTAACCCCATCCTAGGTCCTGAGTAGTCGTTACTCCGCGCTGGAGCCCCGTGGGTCATATGAGTCGGCGCCTCGCGCATTGTTGAGTTGCCGGAGTCGCAAGTAGTGAAGTGGGCTTTGGAATCAGTGAGCCATGCCAAAGACCGGAAAATGTGGGGGATGCCTAGGACCAGAAATGTCACAGTAATTACATACAGAACGGTTGTTGGATATCAGGGCATTTGGGGTCGGCAGTGTAGAGAAGTCTGGTGTAGCTGATCTGCGTCCCTAGCGTGCGGTTTTTTTCTCGGCCGGTGGATATGGCGCGCTTAGTACTTACTTTCAGCTGTTGAACACAATTTTCTCCCTTTCCTTTCCTCCAAGAAGATCTCTTGATAATACAAGCTCAACAAGCTTCACCAAGATATGCAGCCAAGGCCCGATGCGGCTCTGGGAGTGAACTCTCGCCAGAAACCATTGTGGATATTCGAAGCAAAAGGGAATCCACACAGATGGACGCGGTCCACTCCTTTGCAAGACCTGACTCGTGAATGGCGGAGAGCAGTGAAGAGTGGCTCGCGAAACGATGTCGTCGGGCTTGAGTCTGTTTTGGCATATCCGAAGCGTCCGCGAGCCAGGCGTCTCGTGCTTGTGTCATTGGTAGTCGCCACCAGTAACCATTCGACATAGCTGTTGCGTTGCTAAACGGGCTGCATTTAACTGGAAGATCTTCACTCTAATAATGCCGATTCAAAAGTTCTGCTTAACCACGTGCTGAACCAATTTTGTATGCTTTTTGGCCGTGTCGCACGCAGCAACGGCTAACGATCGTGAGGTATATCAAAAGTGATGCTGGCGAGTTACCATGAAGATTTGCAACATATTCATCTCATCCTACTTTGCTTAGTATGATGCGTAAAAATACATCAGCAGTCCTTCACAACCCACCGTTCTCTTTCTTCACCGCTTATGCGGCAGTCAACTCACCAATTCGCCTCTCGATTTCGGGGACTTGCCTCAACAGCACCTCCAAGTCCTCTTTCTCGTCCTCCAACTGTAGTCTCTTCTCGGCGTCCAACTTAGTGAACACGAAGTTACCCTGCCCATCGAATTGCAGAATCTTACTATGATATTTCCAGAGACTCCTCCGATGACTAACCGTCATAAGAGTTATGCCTAATGCTTTGGCATTATCATACATAACCTTCTCAGTCTCCAATGTTACACTGCTTGTACACTCATCGAGGATTGCGTACCGCGGTTTGTGGTAAAATAGACGAGCCATCGCTACTCGTTGCTGCAATCCTCCCGACAGAACATCTCGCCATTCAGCTTCAGCATCCCAACCCTCAGGGTAAAGATCTACCAAATGCTCAAGCGATAGAATTTTTAGAATATCGAGCAATTCAGCGTCGGTAACCCCCCGTCCGCGTACTGCCCGCAGACTATCCGGGTATGTAATCTGTTGCCGAAGACTGCCTCGAGATAGGTAAGGTCTTTGGGGAATGTAAAAAATATCTGCGAATGGAGGCTTGTACACGGTCCCGCCATAGACAGGCCATAACCCACCCAGTATACGGAAAAGGCTCGACTTGCCGCAGCCGTTTGGACCAACAACCAGAAGGTGATCGCCTTGCTTTAGAGAGAATGACAACGCTTTCACAAGTACATCGCCGTTGGGGGAGATAATAGGGACATTGACGAACTCAATATCCTTGCTTTCAACCACCTTCCCGCGGCCTTTTAATACAGCCTCGTGTTCTTTGGTTCCCGAGCTTGACACAAGCTTCTTCTCGAAATGACCTGCTTGTATATCGTCCATCACTTCCAGTAGAGATGCTACACGAGACGTGTAACCTGCCAGCTCCATGATTTCGCGGTAGGAGAACATGACACGACCAAACGCATCTGACGCACCTAGCAGCATGCGACGATTCGTAACAAATGTTTCCGTCCGGTCACCCATGCTCACTACGTCGCTCAGTTGACCAGGGAGCTTGAAGAAAACGGGTACACTGCAGAGCATGAGACCCAGAGCCCCCCAAAAGTACTTTATGACAAAGTCTTCCATGATACCGTGATAAAATCGCCGACGTAATATATAATTCACATGCTTGATGAGTGTGAAGTATCCCTTGTCCAGTGTGTCCTTCTCCGCCTCATGGCCATGGTAAAGGGCAACTTCCTCGCTGTGATCGATAAGTCTGGAGTGCTGGAATCGGAACTCTCCCTCTAGCCGCGCTTCATCGGCGACATATTTGCCGAAAGGCGGAGTGAGTGCCCGCATGACGTTGGCTGATAATTGGACGAGTAACGACATGAACACAACGCCCTCACCACCCACGCTCTTTGATAATGACCAAGTGTATATTGTCTGCGAAGACGTTAGCTAGTCCAAGCGGGCGAGTAGGCAGGAATGCGTACCATATCCAATATCGGCTTGGCTAAGTTACTATAGAGTTCGGCCAAGCTATTCGAAAATTTGGCAACATCCACAGATATCACCTGATCAGGATTCTTTATTCTATCGTCCAGTGCAGATATGCCATAAAAGGTAAGTTTGGAGAGGTATTTGTCGTGTATGTATTGGGTCAATCGTGTTCGATACTTCAGCGAAAGCTCAGC